TAAGTGTTTTCCAAATCTAACATTTTTTGATTTCTTTTAATGAGCTTAATCCTATTATGCTTTATTTTTTTTATGAATTTCTTTGAAGGAGGCGCGTAGGGGCACGTAGGGGTGCGTATTTTAGTCGTGTAAAAAAATAATTTTTTAAAAATTTTACTATGTTATCATTTTTTTTATGAAAAAAAACATTTTCTGCCTTATATAAAGCTAAATACGATTCTAAAATAATATAATTTAAAATAAGCTCTTTCATAGGGGGCGCGTAGGGGCGCGTAGTTTTCGGGGGCGCGTCCAAAGGTGGATTAAAAAGAATAAATACAAAAAATAGGCAAAAATATTAGAATAAAAAATTAGCTTGCTAATTTGTATACTAGCTAGCTACTTAGGCTTAACTTGCTAGTTTGTAAAATAACTTCATTTAAATATTATAAAATTTATTTTTTTGGGGAAAAATCTTTATTTCTTTTAACATTATAATAATGGTGTAATAAAATATATATCAGAAAAATAAACAAAAACATTAGATTAATGAATAAAGGGGAAAAAAATTAAGATTATTCTTCTATTTTGATATCATCTAGTTTGTATCTAAAATTTTATAAAATAAACAATTTTTTTAATTATACAAATTTTAAAAATATAAAATATTAAGTAAATATAAGATAAAAGGCATGCTCATGCATGACTACGTTCACTCCCATTTCGAGAAAATTGAGTAAGGTTATGGCAGGATTAGGTTGATAATTTATATCTTAATTTATTTGATAAAAAAAATTGATGAGATCTGTAGTCATGATTTCAATATTTATTCTTATGGATAACAGTGGCAAATCCAGAATGTTTGAATGGGAAGGGGGTGGTGGCTATCATCTTAGTTATTATATAATTTGTTTGTATATTTTGTATTACACATGCAGGCGCGTAGCCAGTGGGGGGGGCTTCCCTCATAGCAAAATTATTTAAAAAAATATAAAAGATTTTTCATCTTTTATGATACATAGTGATCTATTTAGGTTATATTCTATTTTAAATATTAGCAAAAAATTAAAATTTATTTATTTATTCGTTCGTATTTATCTCATGAAAATTTAAAGTTTGTTTTCAAATTTTTTTAAACCTTAAACACTGATGGATCTAAGAAAATTTTATCAACCAAATTCTATAATATTTTTCATTAAATTGATTAAAGTTATGAGAATCGCGAATATTGTTGTATTATAACTTGGAAAATTAAGCGATAATCTCGACCAAGTATTTTATGAGATTTATGTAATTGTTGAGGCGAAAGCGAAATTATATGATTTTGAGATTCAACTAGACAAACTAATATTAACGTGGACTCAATTGAGGAATACTATAAAATAACCCTTATTCCAATTTTGGATACATTTTATACTCAGATCAATGAACGATTATGATTTATTAAATGGCAATTCAATTTACAATGACTATATCTATAATTCCTGATCTGAGGATATATTAATTCTTATATTAAAATAATTAAATATTTAGCTAAATTTTATTCAGAATATAAATGTATATGAAAGCCAATTAACTTCAGAATTTAAATCTTGATATGAAAGATTAATTTTAGAAGATAGTCCCCAGAAACGCTATGAAAGCATTGTCTTTAAAATATATTTCTTTCCAATTAAATTAAAATTTATTTTATATTTTGGAAACAATATCAATTAGCACAAGTAAATGGGATGAGATTTTCTTCATGACAAAGAATAAAAACGGAAATATTGGTGAAATCTCATAGAAGATTAAATTTTCATTTATGAACAATATATTGATCAACTAAATTTGATGAGATTTTCTCCATTACAAAGAATAAAAACGGAAATATTGGTGAAATCTCATAGAAGATTAAATTTCATTTATGAACAAAATATTGATTAACTTTTTATATCATATAATGTTTTACTCTATATTTTATTGTGATTTACACACCGATTTAATAAATATAATTTTTTAACAATATTAGATTCGCTCTTAAATATTTTGTATTTTCCAATATTTTATTTTTTGTGTTCGAAATTATCATTTTTTAAAATATGATTAGTTCTAGTAATAAATTACTAATGCTCCAGAAAAACCATTTCAATATAAAAAATTACACACCCCCCCCCCTCTTTACAGAAAATCCTGGCTGCTCGTCAGCCCACGTGCCTTCAACTATTTCAGAATATTATATGATAAATATTAAAGATTTCACTTAATATTTTTTCAAGCCCTCCTCATTTTTGGCATCCATTGATAGCGGCGAAATTGTCTCTAGCATCCTACTAAAATAATCATCATTCAAGGGGGAAAAAAATTCTTCCAAAGACATGGGGCTATTTGGGGCTTGACATCTCGCGGTCAATCTTTCCAATACAACATCTAACTCGTCCATGTTATCAGGCTGATCTGATTTTTGTTGGTCGGCATTTCCATTAATAAATTGGACCTTCGAGGTTTTTATACTAGCCATCTCGAAATTAACTTTAGGCTGAGACCCCCCTGGAGTAGTAACAGATATTCGACAGGAAGATTCAGTAAAAGGCATCACGGATGAGACCTGTATATCTGGTATTTCGTGAAGACGTTCTATTTCTTTATCTATTTGTTGGGTAAAAAATTTAAATATAAACAGGGGAATAACAAATATCCCATCAATACCTACAGTGTGGGAAAATGTTAAGGTTTTAAGCATTGAGAAGTTCCCCTATTCAAAAAATTGCCTTTTCGCTTTATAATTGTTTCAAAAGTAATAAAAGTTTATCCTACATGCCTCTCAACCCCCCCCCCAACCCTCCATTTCTCCCATAAAAAGTCTACGGTTTATTACTTTAAACAATCATTTTAAACCAAATAAGTAAATATTAATATTTTTTAAAAAATAATGACTTTAATTCAAATTTTAGAAAAGAAATATTTTTATATAAAAAAGTGAAAAATCAAAATTATTTAAAAATATATCAAAAACAAATATCTGCAATAAGCAAGTTTAAAGACCTCCAATAACAGTTATTAGTAAAAAATAAGGCCATTTCCAAACATAACGTTTTTTCAAAGCGAGAAATAATAAATGTATCCTTCCAACCATGAAATTTTTTTAATGCACGCGATTTTGCGTTATTGTTAGTTTGATATTTTTTAACAATTAAATGGCGTCTTACACGACTGAAGTGAACAAGTTGTTTTTAAAATATTATATTATGCAATAATTTTAAACCAAGACGTACTTACCCAAATAAAGTATTAGATAAATTGTGGATTTTATGTGCTAATGGTAGATTAGTTTGATATTGCTTCATATCTTGTTGAGTTTACTAAACACTTTTTTAGGTAATATGGCAGAAATGTTATAATTATTTTTTACAATTTGCATAAATTTTTAAAGAAATTTTATATAATTTACATAATTGAAATATAATATTTACAATAAAAACCTTGCAAATTAATTAATACATAGTTGAGATTTAATATAATTTTATTTATAAGTTATAGCAGTGTCAATAGAATTTCTATCTTTAGACTTATTTTATCCTAAATTCATCCTTAATTCAATATTGTGAAATACGTATTATACATTTAGGATATTCATTGTCTACATTTTTATGCCAACTTTATATGCTTTTTATATTTTAATAAATAAATTATATTAGCTTAAAGTAACATTGGTCACTTTTCTGGGAATATAGTACTTATATAATAGTGCCACTCCCCATGAAGAATTCTGACTCCGCCTATATTATAAATAGTTTGTTAAAGTCAAATAAATTATTGAAAAATGATCTTAGCGTTTTACTATTTATATATTTTTTCGGTGCAGACAAACATTATATTTCTTTTTCAATTCAAATAAATATTACATTGTCGTATATATTTTTTTAGTTATTTCCATTTAATTCAAATTTGTAAATCGCAAAATTATTTTGTATAATAATTATATTAAAAATTAGTTATAATCAACTTATTAAGTAAGGTTTCTGACCATTTTTTAAATGAACTCTTGAACTATTCTTAAATATTAATTTTTAAATATAGAATTTTTATATTAATTAAAAAAAAAATCATGGTCAAATTGTCAGATAGGAATGTTTATACATCTTATACGATTATGCTAAATATTTATATATTGACCCAAACTGGTTCAATTCAATCCAACCCTGAATATTCTAGATCCATACGACCAGCATATATATATTATAATATAATTAATTACAAACAAAATATACAAAACGTGTGCTGCTGTTACTATAAATTTGACTTTCAAAATACAGCTCTTAACAGTAACAATTATCCATTGAAACTAAAACTTTTATTATTTATTAATTTTATATTTAAAAGAGTTAAAATTATATCAAAATATAAAAATTATATTTTTTATAATCTTAATTCCTAAAATGACAGTAATACCAAATAATGAATAATATAATGCTAATAACATTCTATGTGAAGCAAACTGAAATTAAGAAAATAAAAACTAAATTATAATAGAGCCTTAACATATTATTATGTATTAAATTCCTAATTTCTTCAGAATTTCTAATTCCAGGAATCCGTTCCTTAATTTTTCCCAAGTTCTTCTCCACTAACGTGCTCGGATATCCCTAATTAAAAATTTCAACAAAGAGATTTTTGAAGTTTAATTTAGATAAATTTATATAGTAAGTAATACATGTTTTTATCAATTTTGGCAACGTTGGAAACAATAGGAATTTTATTGAGGCTCAAAATTTTGGTCAAATTAAGAAGTTTCTCGAATTATCAAGGGCCCAAATTATATAAATTTCTTTTTTATATATATATTAAAATAAATATATATATATTTACCAATAATAGAAACGGATTCGAGAGGTTGATCACTTGCCATAATTAATGTTTGATACCCTTTTTTTAAGAAACAAGAAAAAGGAAATTAATATATCACTCACTATCAATAAAAATATTATATACTTTCTATTTCATCTACTTTCGGATATTTAATGGGTGTGTTCATGGTAGGCGGAGGGCTTATGGGAATAGTATCTTGAAGTTTATATATTTTATAATTTATTTAAAAGACTTATTGATAATAAATGTGATAGTGTTAGGGTTGTAGTTAAGTGTTTTATCATAAATTTTATACTCTTCCCCTAAAAAATAAACATTTTGTAGGAAGGGTGATTTTTTAATATATATTTTATTGTATATCCAGTTTTTTTCAATCTTTTATATGTAAAATAAATTTTATTATATTCTCTTTTGATATAAATTTATTATATTCTCTTTTGATATAAATTTTATTATATTCTCTTTTAATTTTTAGTTTTTACACTTTATTATATGATTTTTTAACTTTTTTTTATGTTTAATATAAGGTAGGGAGCATGAGATCGTTCTGAATTCGGAGGTGTAATTAGAATCTCAAGATCTCTGTGATGGTTAATTTTATATTATATGGGACAGAATTAAATCAGCATAAAATTTGTAAAATGACTTCGAGTCCCCTAAAAAAAAGCATTTTGAAATTTTTTTTATACCACTAAAAAGTGTAATTTTGGATACTCTTAGCTAAAAAAGTAATTTTGGATAATGTTAGCTAAAAAAAGGTAATTTTGAAAATAATTTTAAATTTTTTTTGAGCCCCCGAGATTGTAAAGACTAGTGAACCCCTGTTAGTCATGACTCTTATAAGATCACAGGCATACCCCTCAAACGAATTTCCATTGAATGACCTTTGGGGTTCTACTAGTTAGCCATGCCCCACTACCTCAAATAAAAAAAAATAAAAATAATACTTAAAAAAAATGACAAAATAAAATATGACCACTCTTCCATCCCTAAATAATACGGGGATGGGGGTGGTGGTATGACGTTATGTAAGTGGCTCAATTTTTAAATAATAATCAATATATTCTTTATCTATTTTTAAAAAATTTGACTTAAAATGGTAAACATTAATATTATATTGTGTTTTGTTATTTCTCTCAATATGGCTATTCTTGTTTATAAATATCTTGATTTTTTATTTAGGATTTCTATTCGATGTAATCATTATGTGGGTTTTGGATTTATTGGATTGCTTGCCTTGTATTAGTTGTTTTGGAAATAGCTTTTATTATGTTGTCTGTGATAACAGTTAATTTACAGGTGGCCCATACTTCAGTATTGAAAACATCTAGGAAATTGATATTGTAGATGGATATACGGTAACTAATGTGATGAATTGTTAGAGGGATGCTAGTACTGATAGGTTTTTTTTTACTATCTATGGGTTGTAAGAATGTGAAGTTATACTAATTTTTGCCTAAGATTTCGCGAATTCTATAGATTTCGTTATCTATATAATTCTTGGAATCACGTAGGTTTTATGGATAGTAATTTACTTTGTCAATTTTACCCATGGATTTGGGTCGACACAAATAAATCATGGCTTTCTAAAAGGTCACAGTTATAGGTTATTTCAACGCTCCAGCTTATTGGGTTATATTTTCCTTCGGATTTAAAATTCTATTCTAAATTCTTTTGCAAGCTTGATTGGGCGGATCTGCCATTTCAATCGATTCCTGTATTTTATGGTACCCTTGGGTGGTTTGAGGAGAAATAAGTTATTATTTTTACAAATAAAAGTGGTTCACATGAGGAATATTATGCCTTTTCCCAGGTCATCTGTTATATTCTTTATATGCAGCCGAAACCGGTGCAAATAATTACACAGGTGTTCGAAGTGGAATACACTTTGAGGTTGAGTTGTCGGTGTTCCCAGGACGTCATTTGTAGTGGTTGAACTTCAGTAAATGGTAAAATTATCTGAGGGCCATTCATTAGTAAGGTCGTTTGATGATCCTTTGACCCTTGTGATCTTATAAGAGTCATTATTAACAAAATATTTGAAACTTTTATTCAAACCAAAAATTATAAAACATCAATTTTTTTATCTAGACTTTTTTTCAATTTTAAAATATAATGTTATTAAGAATTTATAACATGAAAGAATTAATTATAAATAAAAAATGAAGAGTTAAATAAAATAATCTGGTAAACATAAATTGTGTCCTGTTATAGGAAAATAAAAGGTAAAATAAAATATAAGGATGGGGTGGTGGATTTCAAATTGAACAAATAAAAAATTGTGTAAAATGAAATCTTTATTTATAATCTCTTAATTTGGGATAGTCAATGTCAATTTTGGTCTATAGATCGTAATGGAGTTGAATAAAATTTGATAATTTAAAACAAGGCTATATATCATGATTTTTTTTTTATATTTATTTTTCAAAAAAAATGACCCAAAAACATAATATAATTTAATTTTTTTACTGTCGATTATGTTGAATTCGGAATAGAATGGCGTAGGTTCTATTTTAGTTGGCATTAATGTTTCGGCCATTTTTTGTCCTTTTAAACAAAATTTAGGATTATTATAATTATATATTAATCATAACAATAAAAATAACAGTGTAGAGTATTATAAAACCAGAAGCAGGGGAATCCCAGATACTTAACCAAGGAGTGTCATATTGAGTACATTGTACACTATGAAAACCTTCGTCTTTTACAATTTCATTGTAATTCTATATTTTATTATTGTCATCTATTGTTATATTTTACTTCATGTGAAAAATTATCAACCATATGATTTGCTATATCAGAAAGAAAGATCTAAAAATAAAAATATAAATGATTAGCATTAAACTTCCGATCTTAGATGTTGTGCACATGTCTTCACTGATACCTGTAAGATCAATATTTTGAATTTCAGCCTGGGTGTTACTATCCGAAGTATCATCTTTGCTGATACTATCCTCTTCGAATAATATGAGACCCTGAAGTTCTTTATTAAATATATATAAGGTTTGTATACGAATTTTTTCTTATCTAGAAATTAGTAGTATAACATCGGAGTTTTTCATAAATCGAAAATATTTCTAACTGTAAATTAAAATTTAATAATACTGATCACGTTTTTGTTTTTCTTGAGTATAATTGGGTATTGACTCTATTTTTAGAAAAAAACTTGTGCTGTAAAAGTACTTAAAAAAAGAATTTTTTTCATAAATTTTAATCAGATAAACAGAGAACTTTGTGCTCAACACAGCTTGCGGTGCTAGACACACGTTCAACTGACGCGGAAGGTAGGTTTATTGATAGATAAAAATTTTAATTGGTGGAATTTGTTAAAATAATTTTAAAAAATCTTTATTTTCAAACATATTTTTTTCTATCTATATCAGAATTCTGAATTCATATATGTAATTTTCTATATATATGAGCTGCAAGACATCGACATTGAAATATTTGAATTAGGGCACAATCTCCACTTATAGTGTAGACCTAGTCTACTTAATATTTCCTATTTGTGTAAAAAATGTGTCATACTGGAGTCAGGGCAGAGTTAAATCATCTTCACCTGAAGAAATAAGTATGATATATATTCTTTATAAAGTAAATTATAAAATTAGATTTAATTAAATGCTTTGATTGATTCGATATTAATTGATAACAATCTTGAATATATAAAATTTAATAACAAAAATGTATTAAATAAATTAAAATGGATTGAAAACTTGGCTTAGATTCTTAATAAAATTTATAAAATCAAAAGAAATATGTTTAATAGAAAATAGAATAAAATTAAATAAAAAATATTTTTTCCCATAAAATTCAAAGTAATCGTTTGCGTTACCGTTATTCAAAAAAAAGAAGCGTGTCTTTTGAAATAACATAACGTCGTTATTTCATCGATGACGACACCACTGCAAGACAACTGAGTTTCAATAAAGCTTAGCTTTGAAGGGCGTTGAAATAAATTAAACTCCACAATTCTTCTGCGCCCAAAACAGCATTATTTAACTTTTAGCTATTACCAAACAAACTACTGGTAAAAAAGTTTAAAGCAATATTTATTTTAAACAATTTAAAATCTTGTGTATAAATTATAAAAGTATCTTTTTTTTAAATTAATAAAACCTGGGGATTTTTCTAGAATTTGCTTTTCCACGGTGAAATTTGAATGGGTTCTAATTTTTTTTGGTCTTAGGGTTGCGTCTGTATTTTTTTAATCGATATATAATAAACATTTTTTTGAAAAAATTATTTATATAAATTACCTGAATAAGTGTCTGCGGGTCTTTTCATTTCATCACTAAAGGCAAAAATAATACCTATCCCAAATAACATAAAAAAGAATATGGATTTTAATTAATTTTGTTTATATTTAGTCAACTTTCTTTGCGTGAAGAAGCTTTCGTTTTATGGATCGTGTCTATCTGGTAGAACAATAAATGGGAGTTATCAATTATTATTTTCTCTAAATCTCTGCTTTCGGCCTATAAATTTTTATTTTGTTATATTTTATATTACAAATGTTCAATAATTTTGGATCTATAATATATTATTCACATATATGCCTGTATTGGCATATTATAATGAGTTTTTAGTATCGTATTCTTATACCCTTATTAAAGCCGGATTAATTAAATGGTTATTTTATAAATTATTATAACATTTGATATTTAAAGCTTAAAAAATTTTCATTCTGATTATATGAATAATATCCATTCATTTCTAGTTTTCCATAGTTCGTATAGTATTAATACTGCGGATGCTTTTTATTGTTGCTTCAAATTATAGTATAATAAGTCCACTACACCTGCTTCCAAAGAGTAGAGTGTCATGATGAGAATTAAAAGATCAGAATTGGCATTCCAACAAATAATAGCTGTCCTCGTTGAACATAGCTATGTAGAAAATTCCTACATCAATCGGTTAGATGTTCATCATAACAATTCACAGGCAACTAGCTTGAAATAACTTTAAAATCTGAATAAGTTTTTTTTAAGAATCTAAGATTAACAACTATAAGATACACTTATTACTATAAGCTTTCGGCTATATATTTTCATAAGTTTTTCAATTTGTTTAATTATAAAAATGTATTTTTATTTCTAAATTTTTTTAATTGTTATGAGTGAATGTTATTTATTTCATTTTTATTAAAAAGCCTGAGTTTTTTTGAATGCTATTAATGGAAAAATTAGAAGAATTATTATTATGCATCTTTCAGAAAATATTTTTTATATATAGTTATGAAATGATTATGTCAGATTTTAGAGATTTTTTTTTCGACTTTTTAGTTTTATTTCTTTTAAGTTGAAATATTTATACTTATAATTCTTTATTATTAAATTTTTTGCCTTTAATTTTTATTATGATTTTTGATATTTATTTTAGATTATCTCATAATTTGTATTATTTAAAAATATTTTTTACTTTTACTTGTTATCTTTTTATCTGGTCTTACATTACAATAATGATCGGTATTTTACAGGAATCTAATTATTATTTTTTTTAGCAACTTTCATGCTTTACATGCCTCAAGGGTCTTTCAAATTTTTACTTCTTAGTTCATGCTGCTTGCCAACATTCTTACTGTTGCCAAAGTCTTTTTTATAATTATAGTATTTATTTTAAAAAATTATTAACTTTTATTTTTCTTGTTCTTGATTATAATCTATTATTGCATACGTTTTAAATGGTGGGCAGGAAAGAGAGGGGGGAGTGTGTATAGGAGGGAGATTTTATTAGCTTCAAATGATATTTACAAGAACAGGCAAATTTAAGAAGGAGATATACCCCTCCCACCTGGTTACGCCTATGATAACAGGAAATCACAGTTGTAATAATGCTAATGTTAGAATCTGATCAATAATAGAGACCTTCATGGGCCTAGATTTTAGGACCAAGCCCGGCCCAGGCCCATCGTAAAAAAAAATTTTAAGCCCAGGCCCGGCCCGTTTTTAATATTTAAAAAATTCCCAAGTCCGGCCTAAGCCCGCTATAATATTTAAAAATTTTCCCAAGCCCGGCCCAAGCCCATAAAATTATTTTATGTATACTTAACTTATGCTGAAGTAATACTAATAGAAATATAATATTTTATTTAGTAATAATATATATATAAAATATTAATAAATTATATAAACAAAATTTTAATTTAATTTTCAAATTATCATATAAAATTATATATTATCTACAATTTCGTTATTTAAATTTGTTGTTCTTTCTTCAATAACACTTCCAATAGTGCTGAAATTCCGTTCACTGGAAACATTAGATGCTGGAATTGCATGAATTATTTTGGCTAATCTTGCAAATTTTGGCAAGATTTTTTCATGCTTCTTTCACCAATCTAGGATGCAGGTTGATATCCTCTTCATTTAGCTGAATATCCATATATAAAAATCTCATCAGCATCCGTCTCATTATAAAGTATTGTATCATCCTCCCATGAAGACATATCCAATAATGAGGATGAAGCTAAAAATATAATATAGCTAAAAAGATTTATAAAGAATAAATTACTCGTAGCTCTAGTAATCCTCGAAGTTTGGCCATCTTTGGGAACATTTTTGGGAATATTCCCTGATTTTCGCTGTTTCGTGCCCAGGCCGTTGTGTTAACTAAGTAAAATTATACCAATTTCCGATTTAAAAAATATATACTCTCCCAAGGTGTATAGGAAATTTGATAAATAACACTAATAAAATCAGAATGATTTGTTATATTTATCCTATTAAATATCCTTAAAATAAGCTAAATTTGAATTTAAAAATTTAGGCCCAAGCCCTATTGCAAAAATTTCCAACAAACCCAAGCCCGGGCCGGGCTTGGGCTGTGGGTCGTGGGCCGGCCCGGCCCATGAAGGTCTCTAATCAATATGCTCTCCCTTATTTAGATTTTTGTCCCGCTTTTATTCATATACTCGAGGCTTTTAGAAAATTATTAAAGTTTGGATCATCTATAGCGCATTTTTTATTTAATTTTGAAAAACTCGATTTTACCTGAATCGTAATTACATCATGTATGTAGTATATACCCTTAAAATTTAGAGAATTTTGTCATAATTTATTTTTTCGCGTATATTTTAATTTATAGCTTTTGAAGTCATATAATGTCTCTTTTTTCAAATATATTAGTGTCATATTCCAATATAGTATAATCCTGATTAAGGGGTCACTTTATAATTTGACTATGAAAGGTATAAATAAAAAATAAATAAGAATATAAATTAAAAGTAGCTCAAATTTTTCACTGTTAAGAGGGTAGGTAGGTATAGTTTGTACACGCTGGAATAAATTTCGGACACAATAAGACTTTAAAAAATTAAAAAATGCCATCTTTAAATTATACAAGGTTTTTAGGTTTAATAACCCAGATTTGCTAAGCCTTTTTAAATATTACACAAATAAAATTATTATTTTTTAATTGTGAGTGATGTCATTAATTTTATTTAAATTCTAGGTAATAATCTAAGAGTTTATCCAGCTTTAATGAGCAATGATGAAAAATAGCAAGCTAAGCGTAACAAAATATAATTTATAAAAATTTGTAATTTGTATAAATTAAATTCTGAATAATTTTTATATTTTAAAGTAACAGGTATATTATATATATAATATATTTATAACGACACCTTATAACTCATAACTATTATATATGTCGTTACAAATTTTTTTCAA